ACAATTATTTTTTTCTAATTGAGTTTGTATTTGAAAATAAAATATAAACTAAAGCACAGTAGCTTCCGACAGATACAAACGAAATAAGTTTCTTTGTCACTTTATTATCAGAAAACGAATACATGAAAAAATTGTATATATTCTTGATTGTTAACACACCTAATAAATTGCAACATCTAATGAGATTGATTAATACTTCTTTGATTAAATAATCTAGTAACTTAGGTACACAAATACAAAATACATATGGAAGTTCCTAGTTCTAAACAGAAAAACAACGAGTAAAAATAATACAAAATTGAAAAATATTAATCTATATATTAATAATTAAATTAATTGTAAAAAATGAAAGGATAAATCTAATGCGAAAGGAAATAAAATTGATCGCCATTGGACAATGTGAGCAACATGAGATCATTCATTTTTTTTCGTCTTTTTCGCGCGTTTATTTTTTCTTGCTTCCTCTGTTGTTTTCACCCGACGTTTACGTGTTATTATTTTAACTGTTTGGGATTCTGTGTAATTCTTATCATTTGTAGACTGTTCAACATGATGACTTTTATCGGGCATTTGACATTGTATCAATGTTGATAAACATTCACCAATTGTTACTGAATCAATAGATTTTGGTACTTCTGCGCATATTCTCTTAGTTTTGTCACAAACTAAAATTTTATCGGGGCGAATTAATCCATTCATACCGTTTATTGATTGTTGGTCATATAGCAGATGTTTTCTATTTGTTATATCTTTTACTTGTTTATGACTATAGGATACATTATTTGTGTCATTTGATATATTACAATTAACTGCGACTTCTTGTAATGGTACGTGCATTGATTCATTCATACGCAATGCATTTAATGTACTATCGATATCAGACTCAATTATTCGCCTTGTATCTGAAATAGAAATCTTATAAAAATAACTATTTTTCAATGAGTAATTTGTATAAGTGCACGTAATTATCTAAGTTCAGCGCTAGTGAATCAAGATTCTAGTCTTGATTTATGAACATTTTTTTTTAAAATTCAAAGTCCTGAATTATTTATTGAAACATAGTCTCTGTGTAATAATGAGACTTCCGATATAGGCATACACTTTCAAAAAGATTGCCATATTTCTCAATGTCGTACATTAATAGTCTACATTTACATTGGAAGTCTCATTATTACATAGAAACTATGTTCCAATAAATAATTCTAGACTTTAAATTTTGTGTAATCAACACTAAAACTAAATGATAACAAATAAAGACAGCAATCTTGATTTTTGTAACGCTCAATTGAACTAAAATTGTAGGTAAATCTGAAATATGACCGCAACATACGTAGGCGACTAAATCACTCAAGAGAACTCCGCTAATATAATCGTAATTGTATCAAACTTGCGATAAAATGAAAAGAGACCGGGAATTCCTATACGCTATACATTACTCTCAATTTGTTTTGGTAAGGATGGTTGTACGCGTTTTGAATGAATTTTTGATAAGTCACCACAAACAATTGATAATTTCTGATAACTTTCCGCACTTAATATAAGTTGTGCTTCTGCAGTCAGATATACATCTGATTCACCATCAGTAATTGACTTTGAAAATGTTTGTGTATAGTCCTCCAGTGTCATGCCATAATTTTTAATTAACTTTTGTTCAAATTCAAATGTTTTCTTCTCACTAACATTTAATAATTCTGGTAATAGTTTAATCCATGTTGGTACTTTCTGATTTGATTTTGTTTTTAAAAATAAACCGAATTTTAATAAGCCAACATCAGTTAAGTGCTTACAAGCTTTTAAACATAATAATTTACCCAAAGCCGAACTACCGCCACAATGACGATTTATATAACGTTTAGAAATTATAACTGTTGGTAACGCTAATATTTTAGAGCATTTAGATTGTAATTTCTTGTCTAAAAAATATGAGAAAGTAAGTTGTAAATAGAACACATACACTTGTGACGCTTTCGATGTGCCGATATTACGTACCAAGTACCGGTGTGGATATCTGCAATGGTAATGTCGTTGAATAAATTTCTCCATTCCCTATTTCTGTGTCGATCGATGAACCTGAATAACAAACAAATAATAGAACAACGTGCTGTCGTGGGCATGGCATTAATATGAATGCAAGACATTGATCTATTAAGGTATTATTACCTTATTGAGCTTTTCGAAATTGTTTAGTCTTTTATTTGCTACTTTTCGCCTTTTCTACATTTCTGTTTTCCTACTTTACTGTTTCTCTCTTTCTCTTTTACATTTTTCCTACTTCTCTCACCTTTGCTTGCGCATTCATCAGATAGGCTGCATACAAATATATCGACGTCTATATATATTTATTTGCGCTATTATAAGGTCCTTACGCGTATGTACGACGTTTTTTTCTCGTCCTTCTCCCAGTTATCTCCATGGAGATCTGTATATGTCAGTAAAATGCGGATGAATATGTCATAAATTAAAGCCATTTCAAAGAAGATATATACCAGAATTTGTTTTCTGTAAGAGTATTTTCTGTTTTCCTTTCATTTTACGTCAGTTTTCCTCAATGAGAACGAAAACAGAAAATATTCTTACAGAAAACAAATTCTGGTATATATCTTATTTGAAATGACTCTAATTTATGACATCTTCATATTCATTTTACTGACATACATTTTATCAATGAATAATTCCGACTCGAATACAGATTGACTTGCACTAGTTTTCTTGATTAATTTCGAACACTATCAAGAATCCCAAACAGAAAAACAGACAATGGTGAACGAATGCTATATTCAGTAACAGCATTTAGCTTTTTCTTTCCTTTTCCTTCAGTTTTTCTCAATGTGAATGGAAATAGAATATGCTCGTATATATTCACAAAAGTGAGAAATAGTAAACAGGCAAACAGGAATATAGAAAAGGAGTAAGGTGTTACGTAGTGTTTTATACGTAACTTGTATCCTTCTTTGTGTCAGTGCCAACAATGAATTATGTTTTCATATTTTATTAACAAACATATTTACATCAGAGAATGTTGACATTGCGTTAGCGAATGAGAATTTCCAGAATTACTGAAGGAGATTTTCTACGCTTCCTAACACGCCCACTCCTACAAGATGAGCGTCCCGCTCATCTACTGTTCTTTTCTCTTTTTTTTTTTTTTTTTTTTTTTTTAATAACGCATGTTGTGTTTGTTGTTTTACG